AAACTTACAGACACACACACACAGACACACTCACACACACACACACAGACACACACTCTCACACACAAATACAAATATCAACATTCACAATAATCAGAAATGTTTCTTGAGCAGCACATCAGCATGTCAGAATGATTTCTGAAGGATCATGTGAAACTGAAGACTGGAGTAATGATCACACAATATATTCACATAGAAAATAGTTATTTTTAATTATAATAATATTTCAAAATATTACTGATTTACTGTATTGTGTTCAAATAAATGCAGCCTTGGTGAGCATGAGAAACTTTTTTTCAAAAACATTAAAAAAAAAAAGTTTTCAGCCCCGGACTTTTAAATGTTATATAAGAAGTCATTTCATTACAGCACTTGCAATGAAACAGCTAGTGGAAAGTAGATGCACAGCCTTAAAAATGTACTGTGGTTGTACCACAGTATTTTGATGTATACCATGTAAATATACGAATAATCATTCACTGCATCAGCAAGATATGCCAGGCTTCTTCTATAATACTTTGAATGCTATGGAATCACCAATTCACAAATCCCAGAATGCTGCAATATTCAGTGACGATGGATGAAATACCACATTTTTTGTCTTATTAAAATATATATATATATATATATATATATATATATATATATATATATATATATATAAATGTGGTATTTCATCCATCGTCACTGAATATTGCTGTAGACCGTAAGGCAGCTGACTGTAGTTTTGTAGATGATGATTTGCTGTTGTCCTGCTATAGATGGTTATTTCACCGGTTTGCGGTAACCAGTTCAATTACGGCCCAGAGCACAGACCTCCAAACACCGAAGTCCTCACTGATCCCGCTGAAAATCAATTTATGTGACAGAAAGGTTATCCGCCATCACACCTGGCTCCTTGTATGTGTCAGTAAAGCTGAGCTCTGAACACCCATCAGGGTCTGTTTAAGGCTGCTCATGTCCCCGGCGCTCCGTCTGTTGGGTCTGGCTGAGACGGTTTGAGCCGTCTGGCGATAGCAGCGGAGCGGAGAGAGGACCTCTATCAACATGTGAACGAGTCATAAATGAGATGATGAGACCGAGACAGAAGCTCAGTCAGACATAGTGGTGTCTGCCTCAAGATTAGAACCACTCCAGACATTATTCAGCATGAGATTTCCAGTGGTTAATTCTTAAAGAAAGAGTTCATGCAAAAATGAAACTTGTCATGCCATGCCATTCCAGATGTGTGACTTTCTTGACTTTCTGTGACTTTTAGATTTCAGAAATAATATTCGCTCTGTAGGTACAATGAAAGTGAGTGGTGACCGACTTTGAAGCTCCTAAAAGTATGTGAAGGCAACACAAAAATAATCCACACAACTCACGAAAACACATCTTCTGAAGCGATCTGATCAGTTTTGGGATTAGAACGGACCAAAATGTAACTTATTTTATAAATCTTGACATCTGTAGTCACTTCAGCAAACATTTCAAGCTTGATTACCTTTCCACGCACCATCTAGCTCTGCTCATGCATCAAACACTAAGAATTGCTAAGCTTGAATCATGAATAGCAAGGTGTACAGTGAAAGAACATTACAATGTGCGTTTAGTTTTTTCCTAAACAATAGCCAGGGGTCCCCAATCAGTGTGTTCCAACTTTACTTAAAGGTGCTGTATGTAATTTTTTTTAATTGTATTAAAGCATAAAACTAGCATAATGTAGATATTTAGGAAACATGGTACGTTTACATATCTGTTTCTCTGAAAAACAGCCAGTTATTTTGCTTTAAAACATGTGTTCCATGACGGAATGTCTGTTTTTGTTTTGGTCTGTGTGACTCCGCCCACTGCCAATTCAGCCAATCGTATTTCGACCCCCCGGGTTGCCAGTTGGCAGGAAACACAGCATATTCCACCATGGAAGCCAGCAGACAATGCCTACCCAATCGAAAAAAAATAATTATTAAACACAATTAAAACAATTCTGTGTGGGGTATGTGATGATATAGTAAAAAAATATATAAGTAAACAAGATAGAAGTAAAAAAATAAAACACACCTACTAAAAAAAGATGAAATGTTGTAATCGTTTACCTTTTTGCTATATGAATATTAGTCAACATTGAGACATCATGAACATGCAACATGCAAATGTCATCAAATGATTGAAATGTGTGTCTAAAATCCCAGTGGAGCTCTTTTTTTTTCCAGAGCAAGACAATATAAGACATAAAGAAAAACATAGTAAAATGGAGGAAAACAGTGCTTTAAATATAAACCAAGTCAGACAGTGAACACACAAACTAAGCCAAACACACACACACACACACAGTAAAGTTACATTTGTAATTATGTGAAGTGTTTGGTGTAAGATTGTTATGCATACGTGTTGTACACCTCTTTATCTTGAATGTATATAACATAGATTATTCAAGAGAGAGAAAGAAAAAAGTGAGAGAGACCAGGAGGAAAAAAAACATTAAAAAAGATAAAGAGAGGAAAGAAGGAAAATAATATTGAAAATAAATCAAATAATCACAGGATAATTAAGTAAATAAATATATTATAAAGGAGAGGGGAGGAAGAAAAAAATAAATTGTACAAATCAATTTGGTACATTTAAGGGGTTAAACGGTGTACAGAGTTTGGGAATCACTGACGTAAGAGATTCAACATTTGTTGGAATCAAAATGTTGTAATTCTGTTCATACAAATGGACAAATAGCACAAACACACACACAATAACAGCAGACGGTGTAGAGACTAGAGAGTCATATTGTCCCTCTCTGTTGTCTTCTGCAGTCATCAGAGTCAGACGACGTGCTGGGACCATCCCAAGATGACCGAGCTCTATCACTCTCTCTGTAAGTGACACAAACACACACACACACACACACAGAGACTCGTGTCTTATCACCCTTCAGAGACGCGCTGAGAGCAGCTCAAGTCTCGTCTAAATCCACAGCTGAAGAAATACTGGACCGCATCTGTCCACAGAGGAGGTGTGTGTCTGTGTTTGCTGTCTCTGAAACACACGCGCACACACACATGCGCACACACACACACGCGCGCACACACACGCACGCGTGAACCCGAGGGCAACTATTCACAGTTATACAGAGAGGACACAAACTAAATGTGATGGGGGTCAGTTTTGGGTTTGGTTCAAAAAAATCGTTTTTTACATTAGGTATTATAAAGCAACAATTAAGAACATTTTATATTAGTTATTAGTGTAGAATATAATATGTATAATAAATGTTTATAAATGTATGTGTATTTCATTTCTGTTAATGAAAGCAATTTAAATAGTTTTAGTTAACAAAAACAATAAAACGTGAGACCAATTGTTTGTATTTATGTATTTATTGAAGATTATATGTAATTTGAATAATTTTAGAGTCAGTCAGATTTTGGGCCAGGATAGGTAGTCTAATTCTGATGCTAATTCTGTGCTACTAATGCTGATACACACTTTCATTAAATATGTTTACATGTACAGCACTGATAGCTATAAAAATAACACTAGAAAAGATTGTGAAATTAGCATACAGATTACCTTCAGTCTGTCGAGTATGATGTGCGTGCACAAGACAAGCACTCACAGCTGACAGAAAAGACAAAGTGTATCAATCATATTTTGACCTTTTCCTAACAAGAACCCAGTTCAACCTGTTAGATGACCTTCACATCTTGTTGACTTGTTAACCTTAACTGGTGTAAGAACATGCTTCTCAACACAGACCTTTTTTTAACTTGTTGTTGTGAAATATTTAATGAAATGCTGCAGTTTTATAACCCTGTTGTCAAGTTCAGATTGTGTATGTAGATCGTGTCAGATGGTGTGCTATTTATGGATTTCACATGTCGCGAATCATTAAAAAGAACTGACTCAAATAAACGATTCATCCGTGAATCGAAACATCTTTTTCACACATTGAACGTTCCTCATTCCTGAACTCAGACTCAGTTCAGTTTACAGTCTTTGTGTTTTACTTACACTTTCTCTACTGTTTCCCTTTAGCTGACCTCAACAACGTGCGCTTCTCGGCATACAGGACAGCTATGAAGATCCGCCGGCTACAGAAAGCCCTCTGCTGTAAGTGTGTTATATTAGAGCTGCGTGCTTGCGTCGTCTCACTCCATCGACTCAATTAACTCAGAGAGGCCCAATTAACAGCACGCAGAGAATGAGTGAGGAGCGTGTGTGTACGTGATCTCTTCATTTGCATGCGTGTTTGTTTCTTGAGTTGTTAATTGGTCTCATTAAAAGTGTAAACAGGGAATATGGCATCCATCGCTCCATCAAAGATGAATAGTGTTGATGGTTCAGACGCTGACACCGTGTCCTAACGGAACGTGACAAGCTATAAAACGTCCATGTTAATCGGGATGTTTGCCCTAACCGGCTGTGACCGCTAACAAGACATTTTGCCAGTGGCTTAGTTTCTATTTTTGTAGATTTCTGACACTAACATTCGTTCTTGAAGACGTAGCTTGAAAGCAAACCTTGAAAATTTAAGTTTTGGCATTACAAGTTTATATTTAGTTTTCTGTGAAAATCGTATTGCATTGCTTAATAAAATATACGTTCAGAAGTCTATTCTTTTTGTATAATATTCTAGTGATCGCTGCAATGATTTGTGTGTGGTCTGTAAATAATAGACTGCATCAGATTAGCCTTTGCAATAGTGTAAGAGACCACTATCATGAAACCGTATTGACAAGCCCTTCTTGTCATGCATAAGGAAAGAGCTTCAAGATTTAGTAGCATCTGGGATTTAAACTTTAGTAGCAAAAACACTGTTAGAGTTCAGGCCATTTCAGCGAGTCATTCAAAACTCAAGTGAGTAGTCCGAACATTGCTCAAAACTGTTCATCGATGTACTCAAATGGCATTTCTCTTAAATACATATCGCTGTTGATGACTGTATTGCTGCATAGTCACTTGGTGGTAAATATGCCCTTTAATGTGTTTTTAATGACTATTTAATTACTTATTTTTAATTTATGTCCTCAGTATTTCTCTTGTGGCTATGAGGGGACAGATACTTCTGATCTTTTCTGACGCCCCAAAAATTGCTGTTATGAAGTCAGTCTACTAGAATATTTAAATCTGTATAATTTTGTAAAAGCTTTTATTTGATTGCTGTATTTATGTGTTCGTTTTAATTACTCGTGTTCTTTTATTTATTTTTCTCATGTAAAGCCCCTTGAGGAAGCTACCTTTCAATACTCTGTGCAAAAATAAATGTTAGTTTTATTTGGCACCTACATAATATATATATTTTTTTCGTATTGAAAAAAACCCACCTTTTTAAACTGCTTAAGAACTAATACATAATTTTTTTTTTTTTTTTTTAGCATTTACATTTACTTTTATCCTAAGTGACTTAGATTGCATTCAAGCTGCACATTTACATTTGATCAGTTCTTGCTTTCTTTGTGAATCGAACCCATGACTTTGGTGTTACTAGTACCATGCATGACTGATTGAAGTCTAATTTGCCATTGGTTCCCTCAAGATTTTCCTATGGGTTTTTATACAGTAGTTGGGTTTTCCAATATATGTGTAGAACAAGGACTGTGGTAAATATAAATTGAAGATACATGGTCGTTTTGTTCTTCAACAGCTATACCGAAAATGCAAATTTGAATTTTATTAATTTTTTTTTTTAAGTATGTTTGTAATAAGTTACTACATAAAGCCATTGGGTTGTGAGTGAAATGCCCCATTAAAAGAACCCCATAGGAAAGTCTCGAGGGAACCCGTAGTGAATTATTATTGTGGGTTTTGACGTCACGGCTGCAGCACTGCTGATTGAGTTTGAGTTCAGTGAAGACCAACGTTGTCTCTCTCTGTCTCTCAGTGGATCTGCTGGATCTGAGTGTGGCTCAGTCCATGTTCCAGCAGCACAAGTTGACGGTGAACTCCCAGCAGCTGACGGTTCCTGAGGTCATCAACTGCTTGACGTCTGTCTATGACGGACTGGAGCAGGAACACAAAGACCTGGTCAACGTCCCGCTGTGTGTGGACATGTGTCTCAACTGGCTGCTCAATGTCTACGACACGTACGTATTACACGCTTGCGCTGTCTCTACACCAGACATGTGGCTTGTTATGACACAACGACACTTACATTAAAATCCTGCCATTGTGCGCACAGCTAGTGCCTAATGACGCATGTCTTTACCTGACGAACACCCTGTTACAATTTACAACAGTCGATTTATTTTCCACATCCTTTTGAAAACTTATGTTTTGATTTTAGAAATATCGTAAACTGATTGCTAAGAGTTTGTTATTCATTATACATCTACATAACATCAGACATGCATCAAGTTAAAGATATACTCCACCCCAAAATGAAAATTTTGTCATTAATCACTTACCCCCATGTCGTTCCAAACCCGTAAAAGCTTTGTTTGTCTTCGGAACACAATTTAAGATATTTTGGATGAAAACCGGGAGGCTTGTGACTGTCCCATTGACTGCCAAGTAAATCACACTGTCAAGGTCCAGAAAAGTATGAAAGACATCGTCAGAATAGTCCATCTGCCATCAGTGGTTCAACCGTAACGTTATGAAGCGACGAGAATACTTTTTGTACGCAAAGAAAACAAAAATAACGACTTTATTCAACAATTCGTCTCCTCTGTGTCTCTCCGCATCACCGTAGCGCCATTTTGGAGAATATCCGCTGAACGCAAGCAGCGTACGCTCTTCTGTGTCAGCCACGCTGCACGGATGCGCTGTTTTCGTTCAAATCAAAGTGTAAATACACATAGAAAACGTATCCTTGTGGCGCGGCTGACACAGAAGAGCGTACACTGCTTGCGTTCAGCGGATATTCTCCAAAATGACGTGTGATGCGGAGAGACACAGAGGAGACAAATTGTTGAATAAAGTCGTTATTTTTGTTTTCTTCACGTTCCGAAGACGAACAAAGCTTTTACGGGTTTGGAACGACATGGGGGTAAGTGATTAATGACAAAATTTTCAGTTTGGGGTGGAGTATCCCTTTAAGTTCAGGATGTCTTTGGTCTACTCAGCACCTAATGTTTCGAATCGTGCATATTATGGAAGCCACTTTCTGCCACTAAATAAAAAATAAAACACATTAATTGCAACTATTTATCTTACTAATTTTTTTTTTTCTTTTTCGCAATTGCGAGTATGTCTTGCATGATATAAACTCGCAATTGCAAGTCATAAAGTCAGAATTGTGAGATATGAACTAGTAATTCTGACCTTTTTCTCGCAATTGTGAATTTATATCTCGCAATCCTGACTTTTTCATGCAATTGCACGTTTACATCTCGCAAATCTGATTTTTTTTCTCGCATTTGCGAGTTTATATCATGCAATTCTGCCTTTATTTCTCAGAATTGCCAGTTTAAATCTCACAATTCTGACTTTTTCCCCCCATAATTGTGTGATTGAAACTCACAATTGCAAATTATAAGGTCAGAAATGCGAGATATAAACTTGTTTTATGAGATGAGTTTACATCTCGCTATTCTGATTTTCTAGGATTCTGAAGTTTATATCACGCAGTTCTGAGAAAAAAATCATTTATTTCTCACAATTCTAACTTTTTCTCACGATTGCAAGTATTCATCTCACAATTCTGACTATTTCTCAGATTTACATATATCACGCAATGAAAAAAAATGTATATCACAATTCTGACTATTTCTTTGAATTTCATGTTTATATCACACAATTCTGAGAAAAAATGTATTTATATCTCGCAATTCTACATTTTTTCTCAGAGTTGAGTTTACATCTCTCAATTCTGACTATTTCTCACAATTGCTAGTGTGTATCACACAATTCTAAGAAAAAAAAAATTGTGAAAGAATATCATGCAATTCTGGGAAAACATGTATAATCAATCAATCTTTATTACAGACTCAAGGTCCAAAAAAAAAAAAAGACAATAGGACAACATATACAACCCACAGCATCTACCACCACAATAAAAAGTTACAAAATACAACAATACCAATGTCTCCACAGCTTTGACTGATACCGTGTAGTACTAACCCTTATATTTGATAGACCCACAATAATCTCATTTTTTGAAGCATTTAGCCGGCAGATAAATCTATACATAAGATTTCGTAACAGTGCTTTAAAAGTGATTACTCTTGCACTCGCAAACATTTCACTTTAGCACACACAGTGAGACTCCTATTAGACAACTTGAAAACTGGAAATGTTATACTTTTATCCTCCTTAGTTCTGCAAATCATAACCACACTCTTATCAGGATTATATAAAATATCATGTTCAAGACCATAATCAGAACACATATTTAAAAGCTGTTGAAGACCAGCACTGCTAGGACAAAACACCACAAGATCATCTGCATACATAATATGATTCACTAGAATATTCCCAATCATACACCCAGTTTTACAAGCATTCAAACATTCAGATAGATCATCCATGTAAAGATTAAACAGAATTGGGGACAAAATCCCTCCTTGTCTCACGCCATTACTAACCCCAAAAGGCGCAGAGACTTTATTGCCCCATTTTACTCGCATCATCTGGTGGGCATACCAATAAGCCAGGATTCTCACAATGTATTCTGGCACCCCTCTTTGTCTCATTTAAAAAAATAATTTTGCATGGTTAACCCGATCAAAAGCTTTAGATGCATCAATGAAGCACATAAAGACTGATGAGTTTTTATCTCTATACTTGTTTACTATTTCCTTTAATGCATAGATGCAAAGATCAGTACCATGTTTAGCCTTAAATCCAAACTGATTGTCTGTAGAATTAATAAACACATTTATTAATTCTTTTTATCCAGCAAGATTTTTTCCAACACTTTAGACAGGATACTAGCTAAAGCTATAGGTCTATGATTATCTAAATTACCTACCATTCAAGCTTTGTTCTTAATAACTGGCACTAACAGAACAGACAACATTGAATCTGGTAACACACCATGAATCAAAAGGCCAGTAAAACAGACAGCTAATAAAGGGGATATCCTCTTACTTCCATATTTAAGATGTTCAGCAGAAATATTGTCTAGGCCACTAGCTTTATTTTGAGGCAATTTACTTATAGCATGATCCCCCTCACGTGACATAATCACTATTGGATCATTAACTTGAATATCATCCACATTATACAATTCATTTTGGATGCAATTAAAAAGACTACAATAATGCTGTCTCCATAATTCTGCAATATTCTCTGCCCCAGAAACTCCATCTAAGGTACAAGGAAGAGATACTCTGCATCTATTAAAAGTTCTGACTTCTTTCCAAAAATCTCTTTCCAATGCTCATTTTTACTGATAAAACGAATAGCATACTTATATCTTGCATTTGTAAACTTCTTATAATCAAGCTCAGGCCCTTGATATAACCCATAATTTAAAAGTTTCCGGGGCTTCAGCCTGATATTCAGCTACATATTTACTCCAGCCAGGCCTAGTCTTATTCATTATACCCTTCGATTTATGACTTACGAAAAATGGCTTACTACAACCATGCAGGGCATTAACTCTATCATTATACATTGAGCCGATATCCCTCTGATGATTTGCATCTTTACAGTTAACATCACTACACATCATTGCATCCGTAGGTAAATGAATATTACTCAGACATCTATCTGTATTTACATAATAGACTAAAAGGTCCTCCTTTTGTAAGTGCTGACCAATCCATTTTTGCTGCATTGATATTATTTTCATTATTAGACATCGCTACAAAAAACTCAACATTGATCACCATAGACACAGGTATGTGATCAGTTGTTACTGTATCATATAAGATACTCATACCCCTCAGCGAGGCATGTGCATCTGCTGCACTAATACAATGGTCCAACCATGATGTTGTGTTCCAAGCCTCACTAACATAGGTTTAATAATATAATAATAATACAAATAAATAAAAATTATATAAATAATAATAACACACTCTGGCCCACACGCAGACCACGACAGTTGTATGACACAACCCGAATGTCCATGGGGGGCACCGACACTTGTTTATTCTACCCGAAGGCGCACACTTTCCCCAGCAACTAGTGTAGAATTTGACCCGCTGACTCCCACCCTACGCGGCTCGTAATAGCGTCTAACAAAAGCCCCTTCGGGCCAGAGCTGCTGGTCATACATTTCACTGACTTCATTACATTCAGCAGATATTTTAAATGAACTGTATCTGCTTTGTATAGTTTAAATCTTCTGACAAGCAACATCGCGTCCAAGTTTTACTTTCAGGTACTCGGACAAAGTCAAGGCATGTAAGTCAGGTGTAAACTTGGAGGCAAAAACACTCACCAGGTTGGTCTTAACCATTCTGATATTGCCCACAGCTCCAATACCTACAACAGACATGACATTACCGGACTTCTTTTTCTGCCTGGGAGTGACAGCAGGCGATCTTGTTTTAGAATCAGCATTCACAAAACCTTGTCGACGACCTTTTTTCACCACGCAACTCCACATCGGAGAATCTGAGGAAGATGTTAATCCTGTAGCTCCCTCCATTGTCACAGAACTTTCCACTCTCTGAGCATTCAAAGATAATGACCTCGCCACCGCAACTCTTTCGCCAATGACCGTATCCAAAGTTTCCACTGATGCGGCCCCGAGTGCCATACCCTCGATCAGTGTAGCTCTGACCATTGCTGCCAACCCCTCTGAGCCGCCGCCTCGCATCGTATCCGTCGATTGCTCCAAAGCACACACTCTTCGATTAATATCCACTGTGATAGCTCGTAGATCTTCACCCACATTAACATGTAGTTGCATTGCGTGTTTCATAGAACAAAGCTCAACACTCAGCTGCTCCATTCTTCCAAGCAAACTTGAAACATCAATGCTACTATCGAAGGACACTGGTGGCAACTCATCCAAATAATGTGAAACAAATCTGGGCATGTCTTCGCCACATTCATTCATCACTTTAAGACAGCTTTTTATGTTATTAACGTCTTTCTGTGGCCCTTTATTAGAAACATTCCGTTGTGTTGTAGGACATAATTCAAACAGTACCTTCTTTATAGCCTCAATCCAATCAGAATCAAACGTCTTTGCAGCCAACAGGACAATTTCATCCTGACTTAGAGTCTTAATTTTAACA